CACACGGTGGACAAGGATGAAAACTCCGTTGCCACTGAAACGACACAGCACTGGAGAGGGGCGTCTTGCATTGAAAAGGGTTTAGTAAGCAACCTATTAGGTCAGCCATCTTTGTACCTCTCATAGATACATAATGGAGCAAGTTGCATAAATCCAAGTTCTATAAGTAAACGTAAGTTACATGTAAATGTATCAACCATTCGTCTTCTGAACTGCTTCTATTCTCAGAACAGCACATTCTACTTAGTTCTGGCCACTGCTACTTAAATAAGACCCTTTGGAGATTTTTCAGAGAAAAGAAACAAGTTTAGTAAAAGAGCTGAAGAAAACACAGCGGAAAGAAGCCCCAGTAACTGTTTACAGACATAGAAAGAAGACATTGTTATGCACTAAGAACAGAGCAAGAACTGCTGGTCTTAGACTGCAGCAGAGAAAATTCAGGTTAAATAACTAGAGAAACCTGAAAATGAAGTTTTTGACAAAAGAATCAGCTTCTACAAAACACTATAGGATCAGTGTCTCTGGATACATGCAAGGTTGCATTAGTCACTGATCCAGCAGAGATCATAGGAAGGTTTCAGTTAATTCTCATTTTGCACAAGGGATGGATCTGAATGCGTATCTCAGCCTCAGAGGGACTGTGAATAAAGGATACGATACAAACATAAGTTGTTATGCTAAAATAGCAGTTTATACAGGAATCAAACTAAAAGGAGACAAGGACATATTGGTAATAGGAAAAGAAAGAAACTTCTTTTAGAGATGGGCAAGGGAAATCTTCCATAGATAGAGGGACTGAAAACAAAGGTGGAAGTATGTACGTAGGTAAGTCTCCGTGGGAACATGAGAAGAATGAAAGCAGACAAATGAGGATGGACAGCAGGAAGGTTAATAACTTGTAGAGGTTCAGCACAAACTAACCTGGCTAAAGGAAGTATACATCTGGAGTCATGAAACTCAGGTGCTACAAGTGATTGCAACTTTTAAACCAGAATACTAGTTCCTAGATAAAACTTCAGAGAAGCCTTTTTTTTTTTTTTAATAGTAAATAATATATAATAAAGAATATGAAAATAGTAGAAAGATTTTTAAGACGACTGCTGTGGTAGAACTGACAGTTCTCCAGCTGATCATTTGACAACACGACATCAATTCTTATTACATACGTAGATATTCATACATTCATTCACTCTGTCCCTCCTTTAAAAATCACATGCCCAGTTTATTGTTGACAGCTGTGGTGGCGTATTTTCCACTTCTTTTGCTTGACATCAGAGGCTGTGCTTTGCTCCTCAAGCCCTACTGTTCACTGTCCTTTAAGGCACCTGCTCTATCTCCTGGCCAGGTATTCAAGCTATCTTTGGGTCTGGTCTCATACAGCAGCTGACCCATTCGGCTACGTTACCATTTCCAGCCTATACCCATCTCACACCAGGCTGCCCTGCCACTTTCATTATCCAAGTATTTATCCCAAGGGAGCTCAAGGCACAACACTATCCAATGCAGCTGGTTGAAAACCTGACCAACTAGTTTTCCACTTGCTGATTTGATGAAACAAGGCATTTCATGATTATGTTAGCAATTTTATCGATGCTTTGAATGGTCAAACATTTTATTCTGAACTTCTGATACAGTAGATGCTCAATAAAATCAGCTGAAGTATTTCAGAATATTTCATTCCACAAAACAAGCAACCAAACACCTTTCTTTAAAAACACAGGATGACAAAACATTTTGCGATTTGAAAACCTTCCTCCATATAGAAATTCCGTATTTCCAGTCAGTTTTAATATTGTGACCAGGTTTAATATTGGTGTATAGCTGAACGCCTCTTCCAAAAAAGGCAGGCCTTTTCAGAAATAACATTGCTATCTTCCAACACAAGGGGCAGTGTCAGCTGGGTACCGCTCTTGCATCATCTTACTGACACACAGACTAGTTTTTTCCCATAACCTTTTTATTACTCATGAAACCTAGTGATATACTCGTTTCCCATAAATATGAATGCGTAACTATGAAAAAAGAGCAGAGTAGTTCTTCACCGCAAATCATTTTTCGTGCCCATGCAGTTAAATAAGAAAATTAATTTGCTTTAGATATGCTTATGCTTTCTTCTTTGTGGTCACTTTCCAAACTCAAATATCAGAACAATTGCAGAAAAAGCAACCTGGACGTAAATTAAATAATATACAGAAAAAGTAAAGTGTTGTTGTGGTTTAACCTGGCAGGCAGCTAAACATCACACAACCATTTGCTCACACCCCCCACAGTGGGATGGGGGAGAGAATTGGGAAGAAAAAAGTAAAATTCGTGGGTTGAGATAAAGGCAGTTTAATAGAACAGAAAAGGAAGGGAAAATAATAATAATAATGATAAAATAATATACAAAATAAGTGATGCACAATGCAGTTGCTCACCACCCG